TTAAAAAAAAGGAGAGAAGGATTATTTCAAAGTTTTCGTCTGAGCAACTGAGATGAGTTGTCCTTAACTTAGATGGGAAGACTCAGGAAAAAATATTTTAAAGGTATAAGATCAGGATGTGTTAAACTTGAGGTGCCCTTCAAGTGGAGATGGTACAAAGGTAGTTGAATGTACAGGTCTGGCATTCAGGATAGAAGTCTGAGAGGTGGAGAGGTCAGCATACGGCAGTATTTAAAGCTAGAAGTCTGATTGAGGCTCCCAAAAGAGTGAGTGTAGAGAGGAAGGAAGGACTCTGAGGATTGAGTCTCGGGCACTCCAATATTAGGATATCGGGGAGACAGCCCAGCCAAGGAGATTGAGGAGGCAAATTAAGAGGGCACAGCGCTCTGGAAGACAAGTGAAGAAAATGTTTTAAGCAAGGTGATTGAATTGTGAAGTGCTTATGGGTCTGGATAAGGTATTGATAAAACGAACCACTGCGTATAACATTATAAGGTCTTTGGAGAACTTGAGTAAAGTAGTTCCAGTTAAGTGGTAGGAGCAAGAGAATGCTTGGAGTGTGGTCAAGAGGGAATTAGGAGAGAGTGATGGGAGGCAGAAAGTAGGGACTTTTTCTTTTTTAAAGATGGAAGAAATAAAAACATGCTCTATGCTGATAGAAGGATCTTTGCTTTTCCAGCGATGGGCCCAGCCCAGTGGTTCCCAACCTTTTTCTGGCCATGCCCCACCTAAGGATCTCTCAAATCCTGATGCCCCCTGCCCGCTCCCCGTGACATATAATTCTTATTATTCATAAATTGAACTATTCTCGTGGAGGAAGCCTAAAAGGCCATTAACTTGGTCCAAAGAACCTTCCAAAGATGAAGTTTCCAAAGAACGTGGCGTCCATGAAAGAAAGAAAGAAAAGAATGAAAGGCAGTTGAAGTACTGAGGAAGAAACCACTAAGAAATAGTTGAAGACATAATGATATAAAGTGATATGAAAAAATAGCAAATAAAGTTTCAAAACACATAAGAACTGAAATGCATGTCACAATTCATATTTATTTACTGTATTTGAGGCCCCTAGAGCCATATGAAATGCAAAAAATTCACTGTTAATAACTCATTCTCGAATTGTCCCCCTTAAATATCAAATTGCCCCCATGTGGGGCATGTGCCCCACATTGGGAACCACTCACCTAGCTAGCCTTTTCTCCCTAACTCCCTTTTTTGGACTTCAAATTTGGATATTTGCTATTTCTTGGAACCTCAACTTTGAGGAGTGTTAATGGGACATCTCAACTCACATGGTGCTAAGGACTGTGAAAATAAACATTTCATTTGGAATTCTCTTTCTCCCCAACTGTTGGTTCCCACTACTTAGGGGACTACAACACATTTTAGATGTGGCCAAGAGTCCTTAGACTGAGTGGAATTCCATTTCTCTAATTACTACTTGGATGGCTCTTCATACTTGTAATTTGGTGCCCTATCCCAACTCTATAGATGGCTGCCTTCCTCAGTTTCTGCATGATGATGGGTTCTTTACCAATCTTCAAAGAATGACAATGACCCAAGAAGCCTGAAAAACTCACCATGAAGCCTGTGGTGGGCACTACGCTGTTGACAAATATTTCTCCTCTTCAGGGCAGATGGCAAGAGGGCCACTCTCAGATACGGCCATGTGCTCTGCCCTGGCCAAGGAAATGTGAGCCAAGTGATGTGCCATTTCCCAGCAAAACCTTTAAGAGCCAGTGAGCAGCCTGCCACATTTTCTAGGCTGTCAGCAGTTATGGAAGCATGTGTGAAATGAAGCTTCTGTCAGCCAGGGCCTGAGCCATAGCCATGAGCAGGGTGCCTTGCGAACCCTGGGAAGACTTCTAGTATGAGAAATGAACTTTAATTTTATTAGCTTTATCTTGGGATAGCAAAACCCAACCTATCCTGACACAATGCCCAAGGACAGAAATAAAATAAACAGTGGTGTTCCAGCTCCATTACAACCAATAGATGACTGATTTCAGGATATAAAGGTTTTACTTTCCCATACCAGGAGCAAAGAAAATTCAATAAATAACACAGGTAATAAAACTTTACCTCTCTGTCAGTTCTCCATTAAATAAAAAACGATTGACCCTTTAAAATGTTAACATTAAAAAAATATATTTCTTTCTTAACCAGGAGGGGAACGTTTTTCCTTTAGGAGGCTTCACTAGACTACCAAAAACATAGTCTAATGTACTTCAAACTTTGTTCCCTGGAGGCCATCTGTTAGATCCTCCAGGACTGCTCATTCCAAAGGCAGACTCTCTGGTCTTGGCTTCTTAGAAGAAAGCTTTGGCTCTTAACTCCCAGGAGGTAATTTTCATCTTTGTTTATATGTGTGGTATAATACAAAAATATATTTGGTCTTTGTCCTCTGTTCCTGCTGCAGAGTGGCTAAGACTCTTGGAATTTCCTGATAGGAGAGTGTTTTGTTATTCATAATGAGCCCTTGAGTTTATGCTAATGAGTGAGGCCACTTAAGGTGGGGCTCCGAGATAGCCGTAGGACGGAGCTGGTAAACTGAAAGCCCAAGTGATTAGACCTCCGGACCAACCTCCAGGAACACAGATCTATAAACTCTTGAACTGTGAGATTCGGAGAGCTTTTGGGTTGGTGAGCACATTGAAATGCTGTGAGGTTGGCATGCCCCCAAATCCCTCCTTCCCCCTCCCAGGCCCAATGGAAGTTAAGTGTTTTCTTGAGTTCTGTGAGCCATTCTAGCAAATTATTGAAGTTAAGTGAAGGGAGTGGTGGGAACTACCCAACTTTATAACCAAGTTGGATGGAGTATGGGTAACCTGGGGCCCAATACTAGCAGCTGGCGTCTGAAGTGAGGGCAGTCTTGTGAATGCCCTTAAACCATGGGGTCTAACAGTAACTTTGGGGATTAGTGTCAGAAGTAAAGTGAATTATAGGACATCCAGTTGGTGTCCAGAAAATTAGAGAATTGGTTGTGGCTGTAGGAAAACACCCTAAAAATATGTTACCAATATAACACAGAAGTTCATTTCCACATACTGTCTTATTGAGTTTACACGTGCTTCAATATTGCAGATGGTATAAGAGACAAATCACAATTCCGCATAAAAATTTTATTTAGTGGTCAGATCCCAACAAATAATGTCAGACATTGCTTGATTCTGCTAAAATGTGCTATATAAGATATGCTCATAAGAAAGTGTACAGTGCATCACCAAAAGCTGTTTAATTTGGATTGAATAGAGTAACAGAGAACTTCATAAATCTTTGTTCTCTGATAAAATTTTTAAAATATAAAAATGAAAAAAAAACTCAAAAGCAGTATTCCAAAATGATAAATGTCACCTTGAACTATTTACAGTAATAGAATATTCTCTGCTTGATTATTTTCCTCACAAATTTTAAGTATTCTCACTCCTACTATTCGCGTTTTCCTTGGAACAGTCATCTTCCGTTCTCTCGCTTGTCTTTGAATCTTTCTCTGATACTCCTTTTTCCTACTCTTAAATGACCAATAATTCTGTTCAACAGACATTTGTCGAGCACCTATGATGTGCCAGGCACTGTGTAGGAGGTGGAGATAAATACAGAGATGAAAAGTCATTGACACCCCCGCTCCTCAAGAAGCTGAGTTTGGGTTGAATTAAAAATAAAAATGTTTTCACATTATATTCCACGAAATCCCAAGCCCCTATAAAGTAAATTTGGGGATTTCTTAAAACAAAGTGCACTCGGGGAGGGTCTGTCAGCGTGGTCAACCTCCAACACGTGTTGGATTTATAATTCTGTTCTTTTCCGTGAAATTCAGCCTCAGGAGCCCAGGCCTACAGTTTGAGTTCCCCACTCTTAGCAGGTGGGCTACATGGTAGGCATTAGGGCAGCGGTGCCAGTTTGCAGGGGGAAGGGGTGATCTTCTAATTGGCTTCTGCAAGTTCCGAATCTGAAAAGCCCTTCACCACCACCTCCAATACAACATTTGACCTATAGACACATAGGAAGAAACTCTCCCCTGACTTGGACTTGCAACAAGATGCTGGGAAACTCCTGTCTTTCATAAATGGCCAACAGGAGCTCCTTCATGACCTCCACACGTTCCTTTGTGCTTTTCTGTGAACATAGTCTTAACCTCAAACATAAAAGCAGCACAGTAAGCCTGCAGGTCACCTTTTTGTCTTTTTCTTTTATCATGATTGAAAACAAAACAAGCTCATCTCTTGCTCCTGGCCTACCTCTTTGTCCATGAAGCCTCGAGAGACCCTTGGTAGTTATTTTTAAAAAAGAAGGCAAGCCATGAACTAGAAAACAAAAATGATAGATAGCATACTCTAGAAGCAACAGTGAAAGCACACCCTCGCTGTCCCATCCTGTTCCATGCTGAGCAGACCACACACGTTCACATTTGGAAATATTTCTTGGTCACAGTAAAGTCCGAATCACGGCGGTGGGCTTCGCTCTCACAGTTCATAGCGTGTTCCTCGTTCACTGAATCCTCAGCCAACCACTGGGTAGTGATGGAGTTTTTGTGGGGAAGTTCTATCCTCGAACACACGTGTTCCCACAGGTCACCCAGGGTCAACCTCTGCACAGCTTCCATCCAATTAGACGACACACTGTACATTCAAGAGTATTAGTGCCAGGTTCAGAACTTCCTCAGGAGCTGGTTCCAAGCCCTTGGGATCTGAAGGCAACTTCGGGAGTTGGCATTATTCCCATAATACATTTGGCCTGCTCTACCCTATGGTAGGGTGATCGCAATGTGTGAAACGTAAAGAGAATGAAGAGCAGGGAGTACTGGGAGAGAGGGGGAAAAACTGGTGATCATACACAAACTTCTTGCTCTGTCGTGCATATATTTTCAGTGTAACAGCGTGTGTTTTGACATGTAAGTGCTTGTGCTTTTTTGTTACAGAGATAACTCGCCCTGGAAAAACTCATTTGGCAAATGTGGCCACGAACGTGTGTGTGTGTGTGTGTCTGTGTCTGTGTGTGTGTGTGTGTGTGTGTGTGTAAAATGTGTCATGAGGTTACGTGTCAAGTCCAGTGGGTGTGCCCTCCTTGCCCCTCCCCCACTGTCACACCCAGCTCACCAGCAAGGAAAAACTGATAGGTTACACCTGGTCAGTTTGATATTCAGAAGCTTCAGACAGGCTTTCTGAGAAGCTTAGGAAATTCTCTTGGTACTCAGAACAAACAATCTCGTAACGGTAATGCCGGAACTCCACAGCGAAGGTGCCAAAGTAGGACAGGAAGCACATGACCAGGCCCCACTGGACCCTGGCAGCGTACATGTGGATGCCTTGGGCCATGAGAATGAAGTCTGGGGAGGAGCAGTCAAGGAAAGTACTTCTAACAGCCATGTGAAAACTGGGCTCTTTTCTGGGCAGAGACAGGTTACAGGAAAAGCTTGGCTCTGCCCCTCACTAGCAAGAGTTAGCGTGACAGAGCTTGCTGAACACGAACATACAGGAACAACACTTGATCACATTATCGAGCTCTTACTTTGTGCCAGACATGCTTCTAGGTCAGGGGTGGGCAAACTTTTTGACTCGAGGGCCACAATGGGTTCTTAAACTGGACCGGAAGGCCGGAACAAAAGCATGGATGGAGTGTTTGTGTGAACTAATATAAATTCAAAGTAAACATCATTACATAAAAGGGTACGGTCTTTTTTTTTTTTTTTTTTTTTTTTTTTTTTTTTTTTAGTTTTATTCATTTCAAACGAGCTGGATCCAGCCCGCGGGCCGTTGTTTGCCCACGGCTGTTCTAGGTGCTTTCATGGAAAATCTAATTTATAATCCTCCTAACAACACTAATAACATTAGTTCTTTGGTGTGCCTCAGGTGGTTGAGAGTCCTTCTTTGCACCAGACGGTTGCCGGTTCAATTCCCTGTCAGAGCATATGCCCAGGTGTGTAGAGAAGGCAGCCAATTGATGTTTCTCTCTCACATCGATGTTTCTTTCCCTCTCCCTCTCTCTCTAAGATCAATAAAAACATTTTTTTTTAAAATAGGGAAACTAAAAATAAATAAGAAATAAAGAAACTGAAGCCAAATGGGTAATTTGCCCAAGGTCACACAGGTTGTAACTGGTGGACCCAGGATTCAAACACAAGGACTCCGACTCCCAGGCCTTGCATTCAACCACTATACTCCACGGCTGCCTAATAAGCTGTGAGATTAGCAAGAGTCACAATACCAAAGTAAGTAGTTGGCCAGAAAAATAAAGTTATCTTTTTAAAAATCACTGCAAATGACTGGATGCATAGTCAACATTCTATCTGCAGAAACAATTTTGAACCTCCATACAAGCTGCATTTTTCTCTGCAGTGCTACTAATAATGTCTAAGTGGTCCCTCTTCCTTTTCTGTCTAGTTTTCACTATCGTATTTCAGACAATACTGTATAGGTTAGTTTCATTCATTCATGGTGTCATATTTAAAAATTGTACCTAAATGAATATATTTAATTAAAAAAAACACAGGTAAGATTCCTGTGCCTGAATATACATGGAGTATGTGTGTTGAGAAAGACTTAGTGAAAGAACAAGAGATCAAGGACTAAGTAACTGTATTTAGAAAAGGCAGAAATACCCCCTTAGAATTAGTTCTATTGTAAGAACTTAGACTTAAGATCTTGGGAAATTTTCAGCCAAACTTTGCTCTCCAGATTAGACCTGGGTCCATTCATCTGGGAACCAAGAAGTGGCTCCAAGTGTTCAGAAATAACATGGATCAGAATCACTTGGTATAAGCTCACACACTCAGAATAATTTAAAGTCTGTACATACTCTTCTGATTAAGGGTTCAAAATATTGCCAAAGCAATAGTATTACTTAGGTTAATGGGGAAGGAATGAATCTTCAAATCTCATACTGGCAGAGTTCTGACCTTTTCACTCAAAATATTTTATTAGGTTGCTAACAAAGTTTTTTGGCTTGATTTTCAAATACTTAAATGTTCTCTAATGCAACAGGAGAACTTCAAAAGAAAAACCAACCAAACAATAAATGACTTAATGGCAATTTGTGAAGGAAGAAGAAATAAAAGACTTCAAATACTCCACTACCTAAAGAACATCACTAAACACGAAATCTTTTTATATTTTAAAGCCACATTCTCTAAGGTGAGATCATGTATTGAACTGAGACTGACTTTAAATCAAGATCACCACATACTGTGTGATCTTGGGTAAACTGACCTCAGTGCTTCACTACTCTTACCTGTGAAGACTAAGGAAGTTGACACATCTAAAGCAAGCATGTCAAACTTGAGGTCCATGGGCCTCATGTGGTCCACACGAATATTTTTGTGGCCCAATCAATATAACGGTATGTAAGAAACATTTTAATAAAAATTTTGTAACTTAATTTTTACAATATCTTGTTATACATTATATATATAAAAAGAGGTAATATGCAAATTAGCCAGACACCATAACAGTCACGATTGGTCAGGAGGAGGCTGCGCATGCAGGTGAGGCCCAGAGCGGAGACAGAGACAGGGGGGTCTGCCTGAGCCGCCGCGTCGCACCAGCTCAGGCAGACCCAGAGCAGACACTGACAGGGGGGCCTGCTCCAGCTGCGGCACACCGGCAGTCCCACCTCTGCATGTGAACTGCAGAGGAAACACCTTTTCTGACCACTCATTGGCTAAGCTCCCGGTACGCCACTCACAGTGTTCTTGGTAACTTGGGTAACAGAATCCAAGAAGGTGATGTAGGGTTTTTCCACCTCACTCCTGGAGGAAAAAACGAAGGTCCGCTGCTGGAGGGGCTAAGAAATGTCATATTCTGCCCTTGCCGGTTTAGCTCAGTGGATAGAGCCTTAGCCTGCGGACCTCAGGGTCCGGGTTTGATTCTGATCAAGGGCATGTACCTACATTGCAGGCTCCTCCCTGGCCGGGGCCCAGGTCAGGGCTCACGCAGGAGGCAATCAATCGAAGTGTCCCTCTCACATTGATGTTTCTCTCTGTCTTTCCCTCTCTCTTCCATGCTCCCTAAAAATCAATGGAAAAATATCCTCAGGTGAGGATAAAAAAAAAGAAAGAAATGTCATATCCTATGAAAGAGGTATCTTGAAATTGCCTAAAGAGAGTTGTCATTTTTTTTGTGGTGAAGGAACTGGAGTCCATGTTGATGAAAACACCTTGGTGGCTGCAGCTGCTGGCAGTGGCAGCAGCAGTGGGGTGATGGGACTGGCGCCTTCCCCTGATCAGCCAGTTGCCTCCCGCAGAGGAGTGGGCTGTCAGTAGGACATCCCCTGAGGGCTCCTGGACTGTGAGAGGGGCAGGCTGGCCTGAGGGACCCCCCTCCAGTGCACGAATTTCATGCCCTGGGCCTCTAGTTATTAATAACGAACTACAACATTCACTAATGACTGATTACTATAATCGTGTTGCATTCATTTCCCTTATGCGCAGGTGCACCATTTCTCCCCACTAATACTAGCAGCGAATATTTTTGCAGCCAATTGCCACGTCATTAGTCTTGTACTGACTTGTTTGGTGTGTGCAACAGAAAATATTTTGCTTTCGGAGACAAAGAAAAATAGGTTTATTTGCATTACGCTTATTAATTTGTGCAGTTTATTCAGTGTCTGGTAAGTTAATGTTAAAGAAAAATATTAATTTTTATTAAAATGTTCTATTAATTTATGTTGACGATTACTCATTTATTTCAGCCCTTTGTATTCAGCATGTCTCTATCAAAATAAACCTACGTTTCTATGAAAATTGAAGCTTTTGTTTTTTTGCGGCCCACATCAACTTAAACCTTGTTTAGTTGGTCCATGTTAGCCTTTGAGTTTAACATGCTTGATCTAAAGTATTTAGGATAACCCCGGGCACATTATTAGTGCCCAGTAAATATTGGCTGCTGTGTGACTGAAGATGTGTAATTGTGTTACCCATACAGTCTACCATCTAGGAACCTTGTTCCCTTCTTTGGTTTCCTATGCGAGTGAACATTTATGATCACTCCACCCCATGGAATGAGTAAGCAATCTGATCGGTGGGATTGAAATTGGCTGGCCCATTGGGCCATGCCACCAGTAGGTGAAGTCACTGTGCTCCATCGTAGACTAGTCTCTCTCTCTCTCTCTCTCTCTCTCTCTCTCAACCCTCTCTTTTCTCTCTGATCTGTTTGGGGTTAAACTGAGTGAAGCGCCCTTCTCTTCCTTTCCCTGGTTTCTCTACTTGTTACTGGGTGGATAAATTGAATGCCAAGGTGTGAGATGAAGGCCTGCGGCATTTTCCTTTCCAAATTTATCAGGAATAAAGGCTGATTTCTCCCCATTTGGATCCTTGTGTCTGTTCACCATTTGTTTAATCTCTGAGGGAGGAAGGGAAATAAACAGCACGTCAAAACCTCAAAAATATGTTTTAGGACAAACTATACCTGCAGTGTGGTAATCTAATTCTTGAATTTGTTTCCTAAAAAAGCTTATTTTCCTGAAAGATATAAATGTATTTGTTCCTTGAAATTCATGTTAGAGTGAATAAATTGTAGGGCCATTAATAAAGTTAAATGAAATTTTTTCAAGATTGAGGGGGGAAAATCACAATTCTCTTTTGGTTGACGATTCTGTATTTCTCACAGAGGGAAACTTTTACATCATTAGTAATTAGGAGAGTGCATGACCCCATGTCCACAGAGTGACACAATCTTGAGAAGGCAGAGCTTATTTTTATTTTCAGTTCTCCTCTTGGGTGTGAGAGTTTTTATTTTTATACCCATTATCTTTTCTGTTTTATCTACCATAAGATTATGAAATGATCTATCTATATCCTAACCAACCTGGAATGGCAATTTTCTCAGTTATCTGTATTTTAATCTCAGTGGCAAAGAGCCTGTTCGCATTCAAAGGATACAGAGGACCACACAGAGAGTGATCAATGCTGAGAGAATAACTCGTGGGATTCCAACTTTGCGTCCTTCATTCTTGATGTTGACTTTGAGTGTCAGTGCAGCCTGGATCCAGCACGTCAATGTGCCAAATCCAAAGGTCAAGGAGGTGCCAACATTATGGATTTCTTCATCGTTTGTGAGCTAAGGGATGAACAGATAAGAATGCGTGGAGGCCCATTTAGAAACAACATAAAAGCCAATGGAATAAGTTGGGGGTGGGGGGATAGTGATAGACCAACAATGAAATGATGAGTTTCAGAAAGATTCGAGTCCTTCATCTCCACTGGCTCCTTGGGTCAGTTCTCAGTTGATTTGAACTCTGAGGGGAAGAAGAAATAAACAGTACCTACAAACCTCAAAACTTTTGTTTGAAAAAACATACAAGGCAGTGCTAATCTATTCCTTGGATTTATTTTCCAGAAAAGCTTTTTAGAAAAGTAAAAGAAAAAGGCAGTAAAGTTATACCCCCAAAATAGAGAAATGTCAAAGTTTCTACAAACATACACCCCAAACTTTGTTTTTTAGACTAAGAAATGAGCCCTGGGATCTGTCTGTGTGCTTACTGACTGAGGAGGACCAAATCTAAAGAGGTCATTATTGCACTGGCATAGACAACTAGTAACACGCAGACTGTCCATTACTCCTGCAAAACTGGCCTGTCCATATAGTGTGACCACTTCACTGTTCACTGTTTGGTCACACTATATGGACAGGCCAGTTCTGCAGGAGTAATGGACAGTCTGCGTGTTACTAGGTTTGTTTTGTTTTCCTGTTATAATAAAACTGCCTCTGAGCTTTTGCCATATCTGTAGACCCATTAAAGGACAACAGTGTTTGAAGATTTGTGGCCACAGCATTTATAGAGCTAACGGGTTAAAGGAGACCCATTTGAGTTATTTCCATTGGGTGTGAGAGATGTAAACTCCCTAAATCATCACCCACTGATTTATAACAGTCATTTTTATGGGATAGAAAACAAACTTCAATCTATACTTTTTGTAATTTTTAAAAGTTTGAACCATGTAACTATATTATCTATTTTTTAAATTAGGTTAAAATAATAAATGACTAGGGAGGCAGGGATATCATTTGTCACTTAAGGCACCTTTCGTAATTACATATATTTTAAAATACATATTTAGGAAAATAAAAATCTATTTTGAAGAGGTAGTTTTTAAAACATGGTGAAAGCCCTGGCCAGTAGCTCAACTGGTTAGAGCAGTAGTCTGCAAACTGCGGCTCGCGAGCCACATGCGGCTCTTTGGCCCCTTGAGTGTGGCTCTTCCACAAAATACCGACTTCTCTATCTGTCAAAAAATTCTGGTTTAATGAATTATCAGGACTGAGGGTCAGGATAATAGACACTCTGAGAATCTACTGCCATATTTTCTTGGATGTCTATGCCATTTGGACTTCACTCAATAGAAGGGGGAGATATGTCCAGGATCAGGTGTTTGACAAGAGCTAAGTGTCCGGCAGCAATACACAGCACAGGCGGGAGGATGCTGGGAGGGAGTGGAGGCAGGGAAATCAGACGACTACGATAACACCGCAGCGGTCTCCTTGTCTATTCTGCAAATGAGGCCATGCAGGTCAAGAGTTGGGTGATGGCCGAAACTGGTTTGGCTCAGTGGATAGAGCGTCGGCCTGAGGACTGAAAGGTCCCAGGTTCGATTCCCGTCAAGGGCATGTACCTGGGTTGCGGGCACATCCCCAGTAGGAGATGTGCAGGAGGCAGCTGATCGATGTTTCTCTCTCATCGATGTTTCTAACTCTCTCTCTCCCTTCCTCTCTGTAAAAAATCAATAAAATATATTTTAAAAAAAAAGAGTTGGGTGATGGCATTGGCAAAGGAAATTATTCTTAAACGTGGTGACCTTGGGCTTCTAAGTTTCTGGGAAGAAGAGTTAGTGTATCTTTACACAAGTCATAGGTGTTCTAGAGAAATTCTGGGTTTTCAACTTGAGATTGCTCATCTGAAATGCAAGCTTTCATGTTAAAAGGAGCTCAGTGTTTAATAATAGGCAAGGATCCTGTTAGTTTTCTAGAAAGGTACATCAGGATACAATTTGTGATGAAAGACAGTATAAAGCATTTTGCAACCTTTTGTAGAAAATATACAGTGATATTTGTAGTTATTTTTCCCGGCAGCTGTGCTGTGTTTCCAACGCATAGTGAGCACCTTCCAGTGTGCAATGCAGAGTTAGGCAGGCCAGGCTGAGAGACCATACAGGCTGACTGCTGGAGAAGCTGTGCATGGTAGGAACCATTATTAGCAATGTTTTGAAAGATTCATGCAGAATGATATGGGCCACACAGTGACTGTCCCTCAGTGGCTGTGATTATCATGTAGGAGAAGTGTGAGACGGAGGTGGAAAAAGGCCAAAATGAAGTACCTGAAAATTACCAAGTAAGGTCATTCCAAAGGAAGACAGACACAGGGCCACCAATCCACTAATATTCAGCCATGGGTTTAAAACCTTTGGTTTCAGTTGTATGAAGCGCAGAACAGCTACCACAAGAGCTAGGGAATAAAAGAAAGTGTTAAAATAGAAAAACCGAAATCAGACACTCAGACGATGAGGCAGAGTTCCAAAGCAAAATTAAACCTTTCACCACAGTACATTTTTAAATCTCCGAGATGACAGTTTTTACAAGAAATGTTTCATGCGGTGCTTACCATTGTTCAGCTGTTTTATTGTACCGAACCTGGGGGAAGCAGAGAGGACCTGAAGCAGCAAGCAGCGCTATATGTTTGTCATTTGGGTGATGCAAGGATGATAAGACCATTCATAGTGTTCTCAGGGTTTTCAGAAATGAGGGCAGCACAGGACAGACTGGCTTAGGAGGCACTGCAGAAGCTCGACAGCCCCTGGCAGGGAAATTCAGACTGAATCATCCTTTAGCTTAGAGCAGTGTTAGAGCAGACAGGGCAGAAACACACGGGATAGAAGACAGGTCTGTACAAACCTGCTGGTTCCTGTCCCAGAAATCATTTCTGCGGATGGAAGGAAGGTAAGGCAAGTGCACAAATCCCTTTACTACTGGTTTACTCCTGCTTCCCTCTGGCTCCACCTGGAGGTGTTCATGGACGAAGGAGAGCAGCTACAGCAGTGGATCTCAAACTTGGCTGCACATTAGAATCACCTGGAATCTTTTTAAAATCCTGATTTCTGGGCCTCATCCTCCGGAAATTCTGTTTCTTTGTTACTAATGTTGTGGCCCCACCCCATAACACAGAAACAGAATTTCCAGAGGATGAGGCCCAGAAATCAGGATTTTAAAAAGATTCCCAGGTGATTGTAATGTGCAGCCAAGGTTGAGAACCACTGAGCTACAGCAACCAAGAGACGAACTATGAATTTTAATATAGTGGATTTGGGTGTCTGGTATGTATTTAAAATCACACTGATTATATTAAGAACTCTCAATTATTCCAAATGAGGTTAATTACTTATTTTAAAACACCACTCTATCTTTTTGCAGTAAATTGTCATTTCAGACCCCGAAGAAAGAGTGAAGTCAGTTACTTAGATTTCAAATCTGACTTCTAACAGTAACCTTGAGGATGGTCCATACTTAAGCCACAAATCTAAGAATCCCCTTTATACTGCTTAGTGCAAGGATATTTCCATATTTATACAAATAGCTGAGAGAGATTAGTTTATGAATGATAAAAAGACACTTGCAATTAATGTAAATTATCTATACATATAAAAGCCTAAGAGACTGGATGACCAGCGGGTAGCTATGACATGCACTGACCGTCGGGGGCAGACACTCTACGCAGGAGCTGTCCCCTGGTGGTCAGTGTGCTCCCACAGCAGGAGCACCGCTCAGCTGACAGACAGGTGCCAGAAGCTGGCTCATGGCTGGCGAGCGCAGCTGTGGTGCTGCAAGCCTCTTCCATGGACACTCTCCCTACACATCGTGGGGCCAGGATGAGTGGGAATGGCATGGCGCCCAGCCTGGGCTCAGCTCCTCCCTCGCTGCCGGCTGCTTCCCACACTACTCCGTGCTGTGCGGGATCGATGTGGACAGTGGGCTAGAGCCCAACGAGCTGGCAGGTATGGCCAGGCTACAGCGGTGCAGAGGTCCACTGATCTGTGCACTGGGCCTCTAGTATCTACATAAAAGGAAATGCACTTATCATTTCCTAAAACAATTTATTTTGACATTAAGGTTTAGCAGGGAAGACAATTAGAAATTCAAGAATTACCCTACTTAAGCAATTAAGTAGGTAATTGCATGCTAAAGGTTTTACAGCAATCACAGGCCATTACTAGTAGCCATTAAGAAAGAAAACCCATCCATAAATTTGCATTTCCAAGTATGCTAAGTTTCATAGCTTCAAGCTACAAAGTTAAGCTCAGTGAGTTGACATTCACTTTCAAGTACCTCTGATCAAAGAGTGGTCTACAACTTGGACAATATTTGGATTTGGGAAACAAAATAGAAATAAACTATAACTTATGCAATCTCAAATTTCTGTTCTGATTTAGCTTTTAGTATATTCATGCTTTAGCTAATGCCCACTATTGATTATAATATTAATAAACTACACTTGAATTGACAATGGTTTTCCAACCTCCTTGTTTGAGGAACCTAGTTAGGAGTTATATTATATTAGAAGTCCATTTTAAAAAAATATATTTTTATATGTATTTCAGAGAGGAAGGGAGAGGGAAATAGAGAGAGAGATAGAAACATCAATGATAAAAAAGAATTATTGATCAGCTGCCTCCTGCATACCACCTACTGGGGATCGAGTCTGCAACCCAGGCATGTGCCCTGACTGAGACACACTGGCTGGGCGGAAGTCTATTAATAATGACAATAACTACCCTAGAGGATGAAAAAATTAGTGCAACTTATTGCTTTTTAGGATGGGAAATAGGAGGAGGAAATGGGGAGAGAAGAAATTCAACATAAGCACTCTGACACAAAGTGGCCATCAGATAAAGAAGATTCAATCCAGAAACCCAAATACAGGGCACCATGGGAGACATGTGCTAAGTAATCATTTGTGGACCCTGGTCAGGGAATAAGGACAAAATACTTAGACAGCACATTTCGTTTCTTTTGAAGATGACTAGTGGGAAGTATCCCTCTGGGAGCTCTCTGGTTGCCATGTAGTTGGAAGAGGATCCTGCTGGAACTTCGGCCTAAGCGCTAAACTGCTGCTGACGTCGACCCATCCAGTCTGTTCCACTATGTCCAGAAGAAGAGTCGAGGGCCATTCTCTGACTTGCCCGTTTCTCTCCAATAAAAATGGGACATGTATCTGTCTCTTGGTCTCAGCCTTCCCATAGGGATGATAAAAATCCTCTTATCATGAACAGACGATGAAATTGAGCAGGAAACAGAAACCTACTTGAAGACAGGAACTCAACCCAACAATCTGAACTTCCAGAATTGCATTCTCAACCCACACTTTGCCCTTTTAACCTATCGATTCCACTATTAACCCTCTCAGATGAGGTATAACTTCCTTTTAGAGCAGACTCTAGGTGAATTTTAGGTGCAAATAATTAGGCTTAAAGGGAAGCAGACTCGACCCATCTGTTACAAAGTTCATTTCCAACCAAGCAGTGGTTTAATTATACCTTCTTGAAAAAGGCTTCTGGGCAGTTGGGCAATTTCAGAGCCATCTTGATATATGCTCACCAATTTTTAGATTTTATCAACAGTTTTAGACAAGATTTTTAAAACCCACCCTCCTGTTGTTTTTTGGTGTTTAGAATAATCCTTTGCCCTACAGGTGTCTCCCATTTAATTTCTCTAGTGCAGTGGTTCTCAACCTTGGCTGCACAGTAGAATCACCTGGGAATCTTTTTAAAATCCTGATTTCTGGGCCTCATCCTTCGGAAATTCTGTTTCTTTGTTACTAATGTTGTGGCCCCACCCCATAACAAAGAAACAGAATTTCCGGAGGATGAGGCCCAGAAATCAGGATTTTAAAATGATTCCCAGGTGATTCTAATGTGCAGCCAAGGTTGAGATCCACTGCCCTAGTGTAAAAGAACACAAATATTTTTTACATTGCTTATGTTCTTCACTAATTTTTTTTAAATTTGAGGCTGATTGGGTTCTTAAAATTTAATTCAAAAGAACAACTCTTCACTGCCGTGCTAAACTGGGACCTCGCCAAGTTCTTTTTGTTTGGCTTAGTTCTACTGTTTATGCATCAATGATTCCTCTTTATGACTGCGGTAGAATGTGAAAATCAAGATGCTTTGGCTGAAGGAGGGAGAGTGGCTGCTTTTAGGTGACTGAAGTCATTCAGTGATTAGCTTTATCCTGGAAACTCTCCAGGGCAGAAAAATAATATTCTGTTTAAGAAATTTGTCTGAGCCTTAGCTGGTTTGGCATAGTGGATAGAGCATTAGCCCATGGACTGAAGAGTCCTGGGTTCAATTCAGGTCAAGGGTACATACCTAGGTTGCAGGCTCAATCCCTGGCCCTGGTTGGGGTGCACGTGTGAGGCAACCAATTGATGTGTCTCTTTCACATTGATGTTTCTCTCTCTTTCTCTGTCTCCCTCCACACTTCCACTCTCTCTAAAAGTCAAAGGAAAAATATCCTCGGGTGAGGATTAACAATAACAACAACAACAAAACACGCCAAAGAAAAGAACTTTGCCTTAGGTATCTCCCCCTTCCCCAGGAGAAATAAAGTGTTGACTGAGGACAAAGAGCATAACTAATTTGGTAAAGAAAATAACTGAGCATTTGATCTTCGATTGGTCCATCAAAAAGATAAAAGATATTTGGTAACTAGTTTTAATCAATGCTACACCAGCTCATTTGTAGATTGTAAATTATAATCTACTAGAGGCCCAGTGCACAAAATTTGTGCACTTGGACAGGGGGGATTGGTCCCTCAGCCTAACCTGCACCCTCTCGCAGTCCAGGAGCCCTTGGGGGATGTCTGACTGACAGTTTGCCTAAGCTGTCAGTCGGACATCTTTAGCGCTGCTGCAGAGGCAGGAGAGGCTCCCGCCACCGCTGCTGTGCTTGCCAGCCGTGAGCCAGGCTTCTGGCTGAGCAGCACTCTCCCTGGGGGAATGCCCTGACCACTAGGGGGCAGCTCCTGCATTGAGCATCTTCCCCTGGTGGTCAGTGAGCGCCATAGCAACCGGTCATTCTGCCGTTCGGTTGATTTGCATATTAGCCTTTTATTATATAGGATGCAGCTGACAAAAAGCAGTTACTTATAGGCAGTGCAGGTTGTTTCTTAAAGTCATGTATGTCATCTAAGGTAATAGTCTGAGGTTGAACAGAATGAGCCTGGGGAGATGGACACGCCCATGGTTCCAAGCAAGAATCAACAGTAAACGAACTTTCACCCCCAGTGTTGATAAATAAATAATTGTTGGTTTACTCCCACTGAACACTAGCCATAATCAGTCTGTGTCTACCAGATGGCCCTAAAAATGATGAAAGATAATAAAGAATAAACACCGGATGCTGCAATACTTTAGAGCAGGAAAGCTAGTAAAAACTTCATTGCTCCTTGGTGGAGTGGGGAAGGACGTGTAGTGATGAGTGTCATCTGGAAGAGAGGAACTGGTTTTCATTACTTTTTTTTGGGAAATGCTTTTATAACTAGTTAATCATAGCTTTATAATGGGATACATTTGTGAGCTGTTCAAACTGGTATTTTTTAGATGATACACTAAGGACTACTGGGAAATAACTGATTTTTCCTAAGGATATGAAGGAAACAGTATGTGACTTCCAACGTGTTCATTTGTTTCTTTAAAGCCCAATGGAGGACAGACAGATGTGACAGCTTTTTCTATAAGGGCACCCTCCTCTGCATCATGATTGGATGAGGTAGCATTTGCAAAGCTCACATCATTGTGCCTGGAATCTAAATGACAATCATTAATTATTGTTATTATTGCGCCTGTGGGGATACTCATATGAGTAGGTAGCCACCTGCAGGCCTACATGGTGTGATTGCAGAGGGGTTGGGAAAGGTCCCTAACACTGCGATGGAAGATGCACTTTTGGGGCTTTGTGCTCTATTAAATGCAAATATCTCCTTAGCAGTCCTGTATGCCGTGGTACGACTAAGTTGATTAGATCTTTTCAGAAGAGTAGTAGGGCAAGTATAAAGCTCCTGGCAACTCCGAGTGAAGGCACTAAAAACAAAACCCAAGGGACAAGGACGGGTCCAGGAGCTTCATTAAAGGTCAGCAACTCAGTCTAACCTTCTCCTTAGAGCTGGCAAAGCAGTTCCTGCCTCAGACCCTGCCTGCTCAGGGAATGGGACGTGCCTTGGGAAGCCTGCACAGGGAAAGGCTGGCTCAAGAGGCAATCTCATTAACCGTAGACAAGCCCCTCACAGGTTCAAGAGAGGCCTCTGGGCCTCACAGGCACGTTCTCCGTGTTTCTCACTTTTTGAACCGTCTGAGCTAACATTCTGCCTGGGTTGCATGTTGGAGCAACCCTCTACCTTGATTTTCCAATAAGGCCTACAAGTTTTCCCTTTTCTTATAGCAAACATTAAAAAAGAACACGTTAAGCCCAGCCAGCATGGCTCAGTGGTTGAGCATCGACCTATGAACCAGGAGGTCATAGTTCGATTCCCGGTCAGGGCACGGCCCCAGTGTGGGGCATGCAGGAGGCAGCCAATCAATGATTCTCTCTCATCATTGATGTTTCTATCTCTCTCTTTCCCACTCTCTTTGTCTCTGAAATCAATTAAAATATATTTAGAAAAAAAAAAGAAAAAAACATGTTAAGAGTGAATTGAGCTAAGAACCATATGATTTCACTCATATGTGGGATATAAAACTAAAACTCATGGACACAAACAGCAGTATGGTGGTTGCCAGAGGGAAGCGGGTAGGGGATGTAAGAGGTTCTAATATATGGTGACCGGAGAAGAATTGACTTTGAGTGGTGGGCACACAGTGCAATATACAGATCTTGTAATGTAGAAACCTACACCTGAAACTGTACGACCATATTAACCAATGTCACCCCAATAAATTTAACATAAATAAAAATTAAAAATAAAAAGCCAAACCAAAAAAGGTGAGTAGAGATATTTTGGGTGGGGTGGGAGGCTTTGTACTTAGATGAAATAACAGGTCACCTTTTAGGAAGACAGATGCCAAAAAGGCTGAATACTTCCTCAGTAATAATATCACCTTCATCTCACATAGAGTGAAAAATCTCATCTTCCAAAAGAACCCTTTCCAGAAAACCACTGCTGAAATATTCAGTTGTCACTGGCCTGTCCCCCACAGCATGCTAATGATGACAGCTGGTTGACCCTCTGAAAGACACTAGGAAGGCCTGGCCTTGAGGAGAAGGCTGGTTGGAAAAGAACAGGGAGCATGGTTGGTTCCCACGATCCCCAGAGGTCCACCAGGTCATAGAAGCTCTCACAGAACAAAGGAGACCAGATATTAAATGAGGGTCTTGGGCCCCAAAGAAAAAGTGAGGATTTGGGGCCAGACATGAGTATAACAGTTTTCTTTCTTTCTTTTTTATTTTTAAACTAGAGGCCTGGTACACAAAATTCATGCACTACGGGTGGGTGTCCCTCATGCAGCCTGCACCCTCTCCAATCTGGGACCCCTCGGGGAATGTCTGACTGCCGGTTTAGGCCCAATCCCACAATCTGGGACTGCTGGCTCCTAACCACTCACCTGCCTGCCTGCCTGATTGCCCCTAACCGCTTCTGCCTGCGAGCCTGATCACCCCCTAACAGCTCCCATGCTGGCTTGATTAACACCTAACTGCTCTCCTGCCAGCCTGATCACCCCGAGGTGCCCTCCCCTGTTGGCCTGATCTCCCCTCCAACTGCCCTCCCTTGCTGGCCTGATCTCACCCCCAAATCCCCTCCCTGCTGGCCAAATAGCCCCCAACTGCCCTCCCCTACAGGCTTGGTCCCCCCCCAACTGCCCTCACCCAGATTTGGTTCTGATTGGTCGGTTTCTATGCCAGTCAACATCTCTGGGCCTATCAACAGGGACTGACCAGAAAGGTGGGGCTGATCAGCAGCCCTAGTGGAGGCCTGGAGAGAAATGGAGGCAGGGCTGCTAGAGAGAAAGAGAGAGGCAAGTGCTGATCAACAGCTGCCACAGAGGCTACGGATCAGACCCTGCTTCTCTCTTCAGGCCTCTCTCCAGGCCTGATTCGCAGTTCCCTCAGCAGTCAGTGCTGGGTCACTGTGACTGCAGGACTAACTTCCAGCTGGTTGAGCCTCAGGTAGTGACAGACCCAGGGTTTTTATATATTAGGATATTTTTTTATTAATCTCAGAGAGAGAGAAAGGGAGAAGGAGAGATAGAAACATCGATTGGCTGCCTCCTGCACGCTCCCTCCAGGGGATTGTGCCTAAAACCCAGGCCCTGATCATGAATCAAACTGTGGCCTCCTGATTCAGGGTCAATGCTCAACCACTGAGCCACACTAGCTAGGCTTTTCTTTTCTTTTTTTAAACTATGTATCCATGTGCCAGCTTGATATGTATATAGGATAGTCACAGGGGAGAGCATCACCTTTAAATTTAAAAAACAGTATCTACACATATCAATATTTATCACAGAGCCTAGGCATTTTTCATTTTTGCCAGTGAAAAAATAAAGCATCTTTTTAAAGCAAACATATTGCACAATATTACATTCTCATGCAAGATTTTGTGATATGTGAAATATATTATTTCATGCAGCAAAAGAAATAAAACCAAGAATACACTGAAATGATAAAGATGATAAAGAGATGAGAAAAATGAAAGATAAACAAGGTGAACATAAAAGGATTTATGAGAAAAGATACCCTCAAAACAAAAAGCTTCCCCATGATATGATCCCAAATTATCAACTAAGCCTGCCATGCTTTTGATATGGGCCTGGAAGAACTGAAGATAAATAGAAATGTACCAAAGCACATAAAGCATCCTTTATTATTTTCTTACCTAGGAAAGCTGCCATGTTCATGACTTGACTAAACACACAGCTTGCAGGAGGTTGATCACCTGCAATACTTGAAAAATATGAAATTTTTTTTATTACTGTGTTAAAGTCTATAACCCTCTACAAAGGACTAAAATTCAAATGCTGAAATCCTAATTCCCAATAAAATAGTATTAGGAGGTAGGACCATTGGGGGTAATTAGGTCATGAGGGTGGAGCCCTCACGAATGGGAGTAGTGCCCTTACAAAAGGGACCTCTCTCGTCCTCTTTCCATCCTGTGAGGATACAGTGAGAAGATGCTAGTCTGTAACCCAGAAGAGGGCCCTCATCAGGGCCTGACCATGCTGGCACTCTCTTCTTGGACTTCTAGCCTCCAGACTATGTGAAATAAATTTGTTACTTATAAGCCATCCATTCTATGCTACTTTGGTAAGTAGCCCAAATTAAGGCACTCCTCCTGTAACTTTTTCATAGATCAGAAGAGAATTATGAAATTACCTTATATATGGTGCATGCTTCACACCAGGTTTTCTGGAAAACAGAAAACGTAGATATTCAGGTTAAGTACAGTCATCTGTGCACAGTTCAATCTCACCAATTGCAAAGTTTTTGTTAGGTCTATTGGTGAACAATGAATTACCCAGAGATAAACCTTACCTTTCAGCTGAATTTAATGGGTAAATTTTGTCATCTTCCACAGCTATAAAGTATCTATGAAGGAAGAACAATAAAAGTTTATAAAACAAAGACTTTTTTTTAAAAAAAAACACAAGAATAATTTGTTTCCCAGTTTTATTAGACAAACCACATTAGATCCTATTTATCT